CTCAGGGAAGAGGTCCTGAAGACCGGGGTAGGGGAGTCCCCCCCCCCCGGAGGCCGACCGAGGTATCCTCCGCCGTGGCAACGGGTGATGTTCCGCCGTTTACACATTCGGGACGCACCTGCCACCATCGAGTCCACGCCGTACTGCCTCCACCGAGGGTCTGCAGTCAGGTGGCTTTCAGACTCACTCACCGTGGATCTTCGGCGGCACTCCACTGCCGTTCTGGGGCTTCAGGGGTCCACCAGAAGATCACACGAGACACCGACCACCAGCCCCGAGGGGCTGGTTCCGTTGGCAGACTTTGCAGAGGCTTGGCGGAGCCTGACGAACATTTCTCCGTGGGTCCTGCGCACTGCCATAGATGGGTTTCGACTAAAGTTCAAAACCCGCCCTCCAAAATTCAACGGGGTGGTGTTGGGACTAGAAGTTCTTACTCTGCTGAGGAAAGGGGCCGTGGAACGGGTCTCCCCCCCAGACAGAGACGCCGGTTCTACAGCCGGTACTTCATAGTCCCCAAGAAGGACGGAGGGCTGCGCCCTATTTTGGATCTGCGGGTTCTAAACCGGTCTCTGAGGAGATTCAGGTTCAAGATGCTCATCAACCCCGCCATCGTGACGGACATCCAATCCGAGGATTGGTTCGTCACGATAGATCTAAAGGACGCCTATTTCCACGTCTCCATCCGTCCTTCTTACAGGAAGTTCCTGAGGTTTGCCTTCGGGGGTGTGGCTTACCAGTATCGGGTTCTTCCATTCGGCCTGGCACTTTACCCTCGCACATTCACCAAGTGTATGGATGCAGCACTGGCCCCGCTGAGGCTCCAGGGCATCCGGATTTTCAACTACATCGACGACTGGCTCATCCTAGCCCAGTCTCGAGAGTTGGCGGTTCGGCATCGAGATCAGTCGTTCTGGCTCATCTGCTGTGTTTAGGGCTGAGGCTCAATGCAAAGAAGAGTGTTCTGGCACCCACCCAACGGACTATGTTCTAGGGGTAGTATGGGATTCGACAACGATGCGGGCACAATTGTCTCCGGCACGTGTCGACACCATATTGGCTGCCGTGAAAGGGGTGAAGTTAGGCCATGCCATCACTATAAAACACTTTCAACGAGTGTTGGGTCTCCTGGCGGCTGCGTCCAGTGTAATACCATCTGGACTGCTGCACATGAGACCCCCACAGTTTCTTCGTTCCCTATCAGTTTGGAAGGAAACTTGGTTCCTGTCCCAGGGGCCCATGCTGGGAGGGTCTTGTCGGCGGCTGGTCATTTCGACAGACGCCTCCCTCACGGACTGGGGCACGGATCATGGGCAGCCGCTTTGCAAGGGGATCCTGGCAGGTGCAGCAGTCCGAGTGGCATATCAACTGTCTCGAGATGTTGGCGGTGTTGGCACTTCACCCTTGCCCCGCCGTATGGCGGCTGTGGGTCTGGTCCCTAAGGGGGCACAGTACCTAGAGGCGGGTCTAACAGCCAGAGCAGTCGAGACCCTCCTCAGCTCCAGGACCCCGTCCACACGGATCCTCCGTGGTGCCCGGAGGATGAGACCTGCGACTCGGTCCAAGGTTCCCACTTGGGATCTGGCGGTGGTTCTTGGCTGAGGCCCCCTTTGAACCCCTGGAGTCAGCTGATGCTAAGCACTTGACCCTCAATAGTAACGCAGTTCGAGTTCCCTCGAAGGGGAACATCTCGGGTTACGTATGTAACCATGGTTCCCCGAGAAGGGGAACGAGACACTGCGTCGGCCCGCCGCACCTCTCTCCCCGCCTGAAGCGCCTGCTTCATAGTTTAAGCTAATGATGAGTGTGTACAGGTGTGCTTTATACTCCTCCGGTTATTCCGTCACACCTTACCGTTCTAGCAACAAGCCAATAGGATTGAAGTGATTTCATTCACGTTCAGACCTGCTACGCCTAGAGGCGTTCCCATAGTGTCGTAACCGAGTTCCCTCGAAGGGGAACCAGGGTTACATACGTAACCCGAGACGTTTTATTTTGTTGTTCAGTTGCTTATATTTTGGGGGGATATTTAAATGCATCTGCTATGTTCTGCTGCTCAAATTGTGGCATTTGTCTCCTGCCTTTTTGATTGTATGAACTTGTATTTTACACTTAACAACATTAATTATTAGAATAATACAATCTCAAGATGTACAATAATAAAAACCTTCTCTCTCTCTCTCTCTTTCTCTCTGTCTAGATAAACAATTTTGTTGATTTTTCAACAAAATTGTAGCAGTTTTTTCACTGAAATGCTTCACACAGAATGAATATAGGGAAATATTTGGAATATATGTGTAGTTACATTTCTCTATCCAATTTTACTAATAAACTCAGAGATTATAATAGTTCTAAGTGTAAAAGTAGGCCATAACGGTGCTTAGTGAGTGAAAGGAACAATGTTCACAATGAGTGAAGTATGCAGTGTGGCGTGCCAGCTACTGTCTATGAGCAGCCTATAGGGAGCTGTGAGTGTTCATCCACTCTGGAGGTCTGTCAGGCTTCAGGGCCAGGCAGTAAACTTGATAGTAAAGTTGATTGGCCTTCGGCCCCTGATTAGTGAGCCTGAAACCAGTCTGTATCTCACACTGCAGCGCGCAGCCCGCCGTGTGTAACACAGCTGACAAGAACCTGAGGATCTTTTTTAACAAATGAGCAGTAAAAATAATAATCACCATCTCGTCAGCGCAATGTGAAGCAAAATGCCAAAATAAGTTGTTGAGAAAATGATTAAAAAGACAGCAGAAAGAGTTTTATGTGGTATGAGTCGGGCTGTAAAGTTAATCCCAATTGGTTTGTGTCAACAACCAAAGACCCTCAGGTCAGACATTTCATCTTCCTGCGCATCCTCCGAGTCACCCGGAGATTTTCTGCAGTGGTGGAAGAAGTACTCAGATCATTTACTTAAGTAAAAGTAGAAATACTCCATTACAAATAAGTGTATTACTGTAATCACTTTGCTCTTTGCACACTGTAATATTTTATTTAATATTCAACTATATTTAAATGATTTAATATTTGTATTTATGTACTCATTTACATTGTTTTGGGGTATTTGTGTAATTTTGTGTATCTGGCTGCTTTGACAATATAATTTCCCTCTGGGATTAATGAGGTCAACTATTTTTCTAAAAGGCTTTTAGTATTATCAGCAAAGTTTACTTTAAATGAAAGTACTCTGGCTCCTTTCACAGTGTTATATTATTATAGAATATTACCATATACTATATCTAACAAATACATGTAAGAGCATTTGAATGTTTGTGATGTGGAGCCAAATTTTAGATACTACTGGGTACATTAGAAATAGTATTGCGTTTAATCATAAAAGCATACGTATATGTTTTTTATTTATGTATAACTAAAATAAATGTAGTGGAGTAAAAAGTACAATATTTACCTCTGAAAAGTCATGGAGTATACAGGACCATTAAATGAAAGCATCTCAAGTAAAGTATGTCAAAGTTGTACCTAAGTACAGTGCTTGAATAAATGTATGCAGTTACATTCCACCACTAATATTGGTCATGCAGCGCTGTTGTTCCTGTGAGAGCGCATATTGTGTTGCCTTCAAAACCGATCTCAGACCACCTTGTTCATGTGGACTCAGGTTCGGTTTCTTTGCCGACACTGAGGTTCAGAAAACATGTTTATTACAAAGTGTGAGAAGGCCCAGATTGTGATTTGGGTCTGTATTCTGTACATAGCAATAGTAAACATTTGGGTTTGAATTGTTGAATTTACTTTTTTGGGATCAACAGGAACATCATTTCTTTTCTCTTCAGAGGCAGAAGCTTTCTAGTAAATCTTGTCTTGTTCAAACTGAGTGAAGCGGATTGAAAAGGTTAAAGCTGTCTGTTGATCAAAGACAGAGTTCAGAGGTCAAGTAGAGGAGCTTTGGCTCGGGGCAAGACGGGGGAGTCTGGCGATTCAGGGGAGGTCATCCAGAGGATCATGAGAAGGTGAGAGACATTATACTGTGGACATAAATTATGAGTTCCTCCATCAGTTAGGTTACACCTTTGGTTTAAGTTGGGTTTAATGATTGGTTAGGGTTTTTTTTAATTGTGGAAAACTGTATTTTCTCTTAGAACTGTTATCTCGTGCAGATGGGTTTGTCAAAGTGCTTCATACATCAATCCGTCTCTCATTCATATCATGGTTTTGACGTTTTTACTCTCACTATTCATGCACGATGCACATTATTTACTAGCCTATTACCAACTAGTGGTGCCTAATTAAAAATAAAGACATTTGCCTAAAAAAATCTACAGGACATGACATTTAAGTTTATACTTGTTGTTCTGAAGTAGCTTTGCTTAATGTAAATATTGTTTATATACACAAATATTACAGTGAATAACTTATGTCAGGTGTGCAAAGTGTGTTTTTTATTAATTGAAAAAAATAATGACTTTTTAGTTAAACAATTTGAAGCAATGCATTTTTTACACAATGTCATGCATTAAGTGGGCTTTGTTTATCCTGTCGTCCTGATTCTGGTTCAGTTTATCAAAGACCATCCAAACCTCCCACAGCAACAATATGGAGATTTGTTGCACATCCTCTCCCTGAACAAAACAAGACTGAAGGCAGCAGCCAAAATGTCTGTTTGTGTGATGTCAGATCTTAGAGCTGCTTCACTGACAATAAATGGAGAGCAGGTTTCTCAGCACAGCATCAGAATATGACCGGTGCAACAAACAAGAGTCAGACAGAGAGACACAGAGTGGACCGTCTCTCTAATGTCATGTCCAGCAGAGGACAGAGAACACTTCAAAACACATTAAATATATTAAGCCCCTGCATTCCCTTTAAAACATCTAAAAATTCAGATGTTTTCCATCGCAAATCCTCCGCCCAGGAGGGACCTGTAAAGCACATAGAATTACATCACAAAGAAAGAGAGGAGGAGGAGGAGAGAGAGACGGAGAGGGAGGAAAAATTCTTCAAGTATGAGGAAACTTTACTGCTCTCCTCCCCTCTCCCTCTTTCTTTCTTTCTTTCATTCTTTCTTTCTCTTTTTTCCCTTCTCTCTCTCTCTCCCTCTCTGTCCATTCCCCGTCCTTCTGCTCCTGTTGGTCCATCAATGAGAGTTTCACAGAGCTGGACAGAAAGACAGAACGACTGAGAGGGAAAGTCAATGCAGCTCTGAGCAGGTAAGATGCTTCTCAAGTCAATGTTTGTCTTTGCATCTTTGATTTGTTTCATTTATAATCATAAGAGAGAGATTTTAAACTAATTCCATTCATTTTGCATCAGCATGCACAAGTACATATTAAATAAATTATCGACTGATTAGTTGATTGACAAATTGTCAGCTTTTGATTATTTATTAATCCCTGCCAAACATTTCCTCATTCCAGCTTGTCAGTTGTGAGGTTTCACGGCTTTTCTGTGTCTCATATGAAACTGAATATCTTTTTTGTTTTTAACTCCTCGCCTTGAGCTTCATGTTGAAATTATTATAAACACTGTTTCAGTATTTTCTATTCTAAAAACCAAACAATCAGTTAATCTAGAAAAAAATGGTGATGATAACATGCGTTTAATATTCTGAATAATTCAACAAAAAATTATTTTGAAAATGTTTATTTTATCTGAATAATATCGAAAATATTCCCTAATTTCAGCACCATAGTTGATGATGAATGAAATGAATTGAAACCTAGAGTTTTGTCAAGTATTGACAGTTTTTGTCTTTTATGAAGTCATAAAAAGTGAATGGTCTTTCTGCAATTCAGTATTTTTTAAGTGTCTCTTAAAAAAGAAAATCTGGCAGGTTACATGAATATTTTTTCAGAAACAAGACATAATAAGAAAGATTGCTGCAGGAATATAAAAACCTTGTCGGTATATTAAGACTTGTTATAATAAGATTTATATTTGTAGGTTTCCAGGCATTTTAGGAAAAAATGCCCAGTTAAGATGATTTGCATAGAAAAGCAAAGTACAGATTTTACATCAAGGAGTCCGTGGCTTCAACAGCATCTACTTCATCTCCAGGCTCCTGCATGAATACGTATGTTGAAATGTCAGTGCTGCAGTGTTTAATGCAGTGGCAGCAGATGAGATGAAAATAAAATGCAAATTTATGTGAAAACCACAAACTTTTTTGAGAGACGGAGCTTTTTTCCTCCAAATGATTTCATAGTTTTGTATGTTGTCCACATGACCTTCGCCTGGAGACGTCTGTGATAGATTTCACAGCGTCTGGCTCCTCAGCAAGTGCATCAGTCGATACATCACTAATAGTCAATTAAAGCACTGTAACATGGCATGGACCTGCAATAAAAACATTATTTTTGACCAAAAAATCTTATTTTTTTTCATTGTCTTTTTTTTCTCTTCCTCCTGCGATTCATTTGAAGAAGAAAGAAAATATTTTGCTTATTTCCAAGGAAGAAAAATAAACTTTGACACCAAAAATACACATAAAATTAATGCTGTTAAAGGAGCACTTAAGTGTTGAGGAGTTCTACTACATATGTGGGAAAAAGTTTGAAAATCAATCAAATCTGCTGTTGTGGAGCTAAAAGACATGAGCACACCAGATCTCTGTAGCTTGCTGCTCATCTCTGCTGCGGTTACAAGCTACATTAGCTGCTGCTAACACACCTAAATCTGTACAGTCAAGTGACTCAAATCAAGTTGCATTGTGGGTAATGTAGGCGCCAGGTATGGACAAAGAAGAATGTGTGGAATAAAAATAACAATATCTCTGTCCATTGTGAGTCTAACAAGAGTGCAATGCTAAATGTGCGCAATACTAATTTTATCAACTTATCAAGTGCATAGTCTTTACCAGAGAAGTCTTTATTCCATCACACCGGTCTGTTCCTGTAAATTATATGCGTATAGGACATAAAAGAAAGAGTTAGATGTTTCTAATGTAATTTATAACTTCACCCTCCTCCTGAATGCCTCCTGGTATCACTTCCTCATAGTCGTATCTCAGCGTCAACCTGATCCAAGTTTGTATATCGAGTGCCAAGTTTGTGTTTGAAGGTTTAATTTGGATACTGAAAGCCAGAATTAAAAGGTTGAAAGGTGAAAACCAGCAGCAGAGAGAGAAAGAAAGGTGCAGAGCAAGTGTGGAGTTTTTATGGGGCGTTTAGGGAGTTTCTACTGCCCTTCTGTGTCTGAGAGGTCCAACCGTAGCAGCTGGAACAGCTGTCTCCGGCAGGTATTTACAAGCTAAGTGTTCCTATTGAACTCAATAGAGCCGACTCACTAACTGGCTGAGGTCCACACAAAGATGCAAATTAAACTGCAGAAGCTGAACCCTCTTTGTGTCTGGTCAAGTCAAATTAGCAACAAAATAAATGTAGGTGTGGAAAGTTAAACAAAGTCAGGTTCTCACATGTGAGGCAATTTGAAGGAGAGAAATAATTAAGTAAAAGTAGTCACAAATACAAGTAAAAGTCACACACAAGTAAAAGTTCCAAAGTATTAGCATGAAAATGTTCTTGAAGTATCAAAATTAAAAAATCACCGATAAATGCAGAATGGCCAATTTCAGAATAATATATACATTATAAATATTGATGCATTCATGTGTTCATCACTTTCATGTTGCAGTTGGTAAAGGTGGAGTTAATTTTAAATAAATGTAGTGAAGTAAAAAGTCCAATAAAGTATACATATATATAGCGATGCAATGTAGTAGAAGTGTAAAGTAGAAAAATACTCAAGAAAAGTACAAGTACCTTAAATTGTACCGTTAGAGGGGGACTCTAGAGGGCACTGCATCACATTTTCTCCACTAGAGGGGGACTCTAGAAGGCACTGCATCACATTTTCTCCACTAGAGGGGGACTCTAGAAGGCACTGCATCACATTTTCTCCACTAGAGGGGGACCTTAGAGGGCACTGCATCACATTTTCACCACTGGAAGGGGACTCTAGAGGGCACTGCATCACATTTTCTCCACTAGAGGGGACTCTAGAGGGCACTGCACTACATTTTCTCCACTAGAGGGGGACTCTAGAGGGCACTGCATCACATTTTCTCCACTAGAGGGGGACTCTAGAGGGCACTGCACTACATTTTCTCCACTAGAGGGGGACTCTAGAGGGCACTGCATCACATTTTCACCACTGGAGGGGGACCTTAGAGGGCACTGCATCACATTTTCACCACTGGAGGGGGACTCTAGAGGGCACTGCATCACATTTTCTCCACTAGAGGGGGACTCTAGAGGGCACTGCATCACATTTTCTCCACTAGAGGGGGACTCTAGAGGGCACTGCATCACATTTTCTCCACTAGAGGGGACTCTAGAGGGCACTGCATCACATTTTCTCCACTAGAGGGGGACTCTAGAGGGCACTGCATCACATTTTCACCACTGGAGGGGGACTCTAGAGGGCACTGCATCACATTTTCTCCACTAGAGGGGGACTCTAGAAGGCACTGCATCACATTTTCACCACTGGAGGGGGACTCTAGAGGGCACTGCATCACATTTTCTCCACTAGAGGGGGACTCTAGAGGGCACTGCATCACATTTTCACCACTGGAGGGGGACTCTAGAGGGCACTGCATCACATTTTCTCCACTAGAGGGGGACTCTAGAGGGCACTGCACCACATTTTCTCCACTAGAGGGGGACTCTAGAAGGCACTGCATCACATTTTCTCCACTAGAGGGGGACTCTAGAAGGCACTGCATCACATTTTCACCACTAGAGGGGGACTCTAGAAGGCACTGCATCACATTTTCTCCACTAGAGGGGGACTCTAGAGGGCACTGCACCACATTTTCACCACTAGAGGGGGACTCTAGAGGGCACTGCATCACATTTTCACCACTGGAGGGGGACTCTAGAGGGCACTGCATCACATTTTCTCCACTAGAGGGGGACTCTAGAGGGCACTGCACCACATTTTCTCCACTAGAGGGGGACTCTAGAAGGCACTGCATCACATTTTCTCCACTAGAGGGGGACTCTAGAAGGCACTGCATCACATTTTCACCACTAGAGGGGGACTCTAGAAGGCACTGCATCACATTTTCTCCACTAGAGGGGGACTCTAGAGGGCACTGCACCACATTTTCTCCACTAGAGGGGGACTCTAGAGGGCACTGCATCACATTTTCTCCACTAGAGGGGGACTCTAGAAGGCACTGCATCACATTTTCTCCACTAGAGGGGGACTCTAGAGGGCACTGCATCACATTTTCACCACTGGAGGGGGACTCTAGAGGGCACTGCATCACATTTTCTCCACTAGAGGGGGACTCTAGAGGGCACTGCATCACATTTTCTCCACTGGAGGGGGACTCTAGAGGGCACTGCATCACATTTTCTCCACTAGAGGGGGACTCTAGAAGGCACTGCATCACATTTTCACCACTAGAGGGGGACTCTAGAAGGCACTGCATCACATTTTCTCCACTAGAGGGGGACTCTAGAGGGCACTGCACCACATTTTCACCACTAGAGGGGGACTCTAGAGGGCACTGCATCACATTTTCACCACTGGAGGGGGACTCTAGAGGGCACTGCATCACATTTTCTCCACTAGAGGGGGACTCTAGAGGGCACTGCATCACATTTTCTCCACTAGAGGGGGACTCTAGAAGGCACTGCATCACATTTTCACCACTGGAGGGGGACTCTAGAAGGCACTGCATCACATTTTCTCCACTAGAGGGGGACTCTAGAAGGCACTGCATCACATTTTCTCCACTAGAGGGGGACTCTAGAAGGCACTGCATCACATTTTCTCCACTAGAGGGGGACTCTAGAAGGCACTGCATCACATTTTCACCACTGGAGGGGGACTCTAGAGGGCACTGCATCACGTTTTCTCCACTAGAGGGGGACTCTAGAGGGCACTGCATCACATTTTCTCCACTAGAGGGGGACTCTAGAGGGCACTGCATCACATTTTCTCCACTGGAGGGGCACCATAGAGGGCACTGCATCACATTTTCTCCACTAGAGGGGGACTCTAGAGGGCACTGCATCACATTTTCTCCACTAGAGGGGGACTCTAGAGGGCACTGCATCACATTTTCTCCACTAGAGGGGGACTCTAGAAGGCACTGCATCACATTTTCACCACTGGAGGGGGACTCTAGAAGGCACTGCATCACATTTTCTCCACTAGAGGGGGACTCTAGAGGGCACTGCATCACATTTTCTCCACTAGAGGGGGACTCTAGAAGGCACTGCATCACATTTTCTCCACTAGAGGGGGACTCTAGAAGGCACTGCATCACATTTTCACCACTGGAGGGGGACTCTAGAGGGCACTGCATCACGTTTTCTCCACTAGAGGGGGACTCTAGAAGGCACTGCATCACATTTTCTCCACTAGAGGGGGACTCTAGAGGGCACTGCATCACATTTTCTCCACTGGAGGGGCACCATAGAGGGCACTGCATCACATTTTCTCCACTGGAGGGGCACTCTAGAGGGCACTGCATCACATTTTCTCCACTAGAGGGGGACTCTAGAGGGCACTGCATCACATTTTCTCCACTAGAGGGGGACTCTAGAGGGCACTGCATCACGTTTTCACCACTGGAGGGGCACCCTATATGGCATTTTTTTATCTACCATGGGGGCATATAAGATTGTGTACTTTTGATAGTTTGAGTATATATTGCTGCTAATACTGCTGTGCTTCTACTTAAGTAAAATTATGTATGCAGGACTGTTTCTTGTAGTGGAGTATTTCTATAGTGTATATATGTTTATTGTTTTTTTTATTAATTGATTAGCTGTCCACTCCTTAGTTACTATGTGTTTTATTTTTATTTGCATTACTGATTATTAATTCTTAAAGTAAGATATTAATAAAAATGACAAAACTTCTTAGAGGACAGTAAGAAACTAAACTACAAATGTTGTGCATGTTGTGACTGTCTGGCTTCTAATTCAGAGATATTTATTAGTTTTGCCCAAACCACCAGCAGACCAGATGAGGTTGTGCTGTTGTTGTGGATCAGCCCAGCGCTGGAAACTCTGAGCAGCTGGTTTGTACATTCAGACCTGCTGCTGCTGAAAGAGGATTTGAGCTGGATGGAGGACACAGTAGATTTCTTAAGTATTAACCAGCTTTGGTTATAAACCTCTCAGGGAAGACATGGTGGTTAGATCATTTAGGGTTGGGATATTTGTGGCTTCTCTCAGCTACTGTATGTGTGCTGGAGGGAAATGTCAGGGGGAAATTTTCTGGTGGTGATATGTATCTTTATCCTGTAATTTAATTTGCTCTTTGTGGGGTTTTTATAGATTTGTTCCCACACTTTTAAATTGATAGCTGTTTCATAACCAATACAATTCCATGAATACTGTATATAGTTGACTACACAATAGAGCAGGGGCCTTAAAAAATATCATTAGAATTTAAATTTTTAAAAAATCAAACAGTAACCTAAGCGTTGTTTTTTCCCCACCAGATTTTTGACAACTTTCACTTGATGGACACTAGCTTTGCATCAAGTAGTGCCTACTCTGCCTCTGATTGACTAACCCTAACGCTAAACTTATACCAAATATAAAAAACAGAGGCAAGGAGTACTAGCCAATCAGAGGAAGAGTTGTCAAAGAACTTGTGGAAAAAAACAAATAATGCGTAACCTAAGCCATTTTCCTGTGCTAGTTAAATGAACTGTCACTAAAGTTACCTAATTTTCTCATCATTTCAACATCTTTTAAAGATGGTTTCACTGACAAAGACGCACCACCAGGCAGTGAAGAGCACTTGAGATTCATTCGTGCCTCTCCTGCATCCTGTAAAGGAGGGCCTAATATAGCTAAACCAATAAATATATAACATAATGATAAATTTCGTGAAATACTAAATGATCAACCATCAGCCTGCTCCATGTGCTACCATCTGTGAGGTGGCAGGATAACAAATTACTCTTTCAGAACAAGTTTCTTTTTCCATTGTGGTTTATTGGCTGAAACGCTACACTGACGGGCCCATAAACAGCTAATGGCCCCATTTATGCTAATTGTGACCAAAGTGGTGTCTACTCAGCTAACAAAAAACTTCAAGGTGGGTTTTAAATGTTTGCTTCTATCTTTGTTCCAGGGGGAAAGTCCCTGGAGTACAAAGGAGAGGCAGGAGGAAAAACAAATTGCCATCACCTCTGTAGAGTCTGATTGGAACAAAGTGACAACAGCTGACAGAGATCTGCTTTTTTCCCCCTGCAGTTCTAGTTCTAATCTGTTCATCTTCTAAAACACTCTGGAAATCTTGGGAACAATCAGCTGCAACTCAGTCACACAAACTACTTCAATCAGCTCAGATTTCCAGAGGAGTCCAGCATCTTTCCCTTCCTTTATTTCCCGTAGACAACCTGAGGAAGACTTTTTTTCCTGGTTTGACCCCAGCAATGATTCCCATCATCCCCTCCTTCCTCCTCGTCCTCCTCCTGGCCACTCCGGCCCTCCAGACCCCATCAACCTCCCAGGAGTTACAGGTCAGAGGTCAAAGGACAACTAGGGACACCAAGCAGGACTCCATCAAGGTGAGACACTGGGCGTGATGAACATAGAAGTGATTCACAGGTTATTTTCTGGATTGATTGACACACCCTCCGAGAAGTGAAAATTAAACTAAACCTGCACCCCATGTTTCTTTAACCTAATGTCAAAAATCTTTTGTCATCTGGAAATTGCTCTTAAACAGGCAGTTGTGGAAAAAGTCATCAGATGTTTTTAAAGTAAAAGTAATAAAGTAAAAATATTACTCAGTCCTGCATTAAATATTTTATACAGAAATATCAGCATCAAAAGATACGTAAAGTACCAAAAGTAAAAGTACACATTATGCAGAATGGTCCATTTCAGAACAAAATATATTATATTGATGGATTATAATTAATGATGATGTGTTACACTTTAATGTTGCCACTGCTAGAGGTGGAGTTGATTTCCATTTCTGGATATACTGCTGGGTGGCTTAATCAATAATAATAATAATAATAATAATAATAATAATAATAATAATAATAATAATCAAATAAAAAACTACTAGTTTATTAGTTTTGTTTTATTTTGTAATAATATTAATCTTAATCTGCAAAGTAACACATTTAGGCAAACAAATGTAGTGAAGAAGTATTAGGCAACATGAAATAAAGTACAAGTACTTTGAAATTGTACTTAGCTAAATGTATTTACTTGGTCTGATAGAATCCATCCCTGGAACTAGACACCTATTTATTAAGAGTTACCCTGAATGAAACATTTCTGCATGGTAAGAGAAAGAAATACAGCAGTTGACCTTGTCCATTGTTACAGGTGGTGATCTCCGAAGGCTGGGCCACTCAGGGTGATTCATCAGATGTCAGCCAGGGAGGTAAAAACCTGCAGTGAAACGATATCATGGAGAACAGAACAGAAACAACTGGGACTAAACTTTGTTATTATCATCCTCATTTCAGTGTAATGTTGAAAAACTATTGGCAACAAATATAATTTTTCTTACAAACTCATCAGAACTGGCAGCAGTAAAAGTATGCAGGTACCCTACTGAAGTAAAAAAACCACACTATATGCAAATTTAATCAGGAATGTTTTTTATTATTGTTATATATTCCATCATTCCGATTATTATTACTCACGTTTTTACTGCTGTAGTTATTGGTGGAGCAACTATTTTGTATCAGACTGCAGCTAATGATTATTTTTGTTATGGATTAATCTGCTGATTATTTTCTCCATTAATTGATTGATTGTTTAGTTTTTAAAAATTCAAAGAGTGAGAAATGCTATCATCACCATCACAAATCCTTTTATTTGTCCAACACGATATTAATTTAATTCTTATGAAATAAAATAATTTAAATGAGCAGCAAATCATCCTTTGTAAAGTGCCAATGTTTTTGCATGAAAGAAATAATTCATCAAAATTGCTGCCAGTTAATTTTCTGTCAATTAACTAATCATTTCAGCTGTCATGAAAAAAATCTTAATTTGTAAATCAACAATTAAATTCAATCTGCTCATCTCTGTATTTCTCAGGTAAAGAAATCGACCTGATTCCCGGTTCTCCTCTGGTCCTGACCCATAAGATCAAACTGGTTCCAACGGGTCCAGGTTCAGGATCTTGTGGCTGCGAGGCGGACTTTGCTGCCCTACGGGAGCGTGTGGAGAGGCTGGAGAGGGAGGTGTCGACCCTCAGGGAGAAATGTGGAGGACCTGAAGGAGGCTGCTGCACCTCCAAGGAGAGCAAAGGTAAAACCAGCTGCTTGTTGTTGCTTTAAAGCCGCTGAAAACGGTCAAATCTGAAGCATTTCTGTCAGAGTGTGTCTGGTAGTGATGAATTCCAGATTATTATCAGCTGAATCTGCAGCTTGGCCTCACAGAGCTTTACAGTGACTTTCAGCTGAGACTCTCCTCACCAGAGAAATGATAATAAAGCTTGTTTGTGCAGCCCGTTATAACGACCTAAACTCTGGACTTTCACTCATTTCACAACGTAAACCATGTGTTTAATGTCATATGACGCAGGTCACGTGACTTACATAACATAGTTAAGGTTGTTTATCTGTCCGGCGGACACTTTACTGCTCAAAACAAGCTGTTCAGCAGCAAACAGCAGCCAGACACAGCTAAAGAGCAGCTGGTGAACATAGTGGAGCATTAAGCTGCTAAAGAGCCAGATATTTCCCTCAGGAGCTGGTGGAGACCAAAAACAAAGCTGAAAGAGAGAGAATATTAAACACAAACACAACTCCACATGAATGATCGTGTCGCTTTGTAACAGCTGGATTTGGTTCACCAGATCATCTTAAGAGATGATGCTATGTCAAAATTGTGTTCAACGCTTTTTTGCTGTCCAAAACACAAATTAATTCAGATTTAATGTTGAGGGAAAAAAGTTACATTATCTTTATACTCTTTATGAGTTTAACCCTCAAAAACTCAGGTAAGTAGGTGAAAAACATGAGAAACCCGTAATTACAGATATTCTCTAATTTGAAATTGTGTTTTCATTAAGGAACTCAAACTTAAAATTTCAAAATGAAAAATGTTTTGAAACATAAAATAACATAACAACATCTATCTTGAACCCAAATATGACTCCCAACAGTTCTCCAAAATGTCATGTGAAATGATCATAACCATAGTTTAAATCATCCCAATTACTTTTGTTTCAGTAACACAACAAACCAGAAGAATCCCATTTAGACTCTTACTGTTGTGAAGTTTTAGTCCATTTACCATCAATACAGTCTGAAATTACACATATGGGGTTTTGGGTTGCTACTTTGCTGCACAGTGTGTGTTTAAAGCAACATGTGTTGTATAAACACTGGACTGAATATTTCTTTGTTTGTTGAAAAATCCCCTTTCTTGCTCTTCAGTTAAAGCTGAAACTGCAAACAAAACTAAATATTAACATTATCCCAGAGGTTCGTCATGTTATCATAACTCTGATTAAGGTGATGACCTAAGAAAAATAAAAAAGCTACATTTTCAGTTTGCGTAAAAGACAATTTATGCATTTTTCAAGGTTTCAGCCTGAAATATCTTAACTATTGTTGGATTGTTATGAAATGTTGTGCAGATGCTCGTGGTTCCCTCAGGATGAATTGTAATATTAATACTAAATGCTAGCATTCTAACGCATTACACAAAAGTGGTGAACATCTTCGTGCAGACATTTTCACAGACACACAGAAACACTCACAGTAATTTCCTCTATTCACTCCATTGGGAGACGTGAACATGACTTTCGCCTCATAGTCACCAAAAGCCACGTATCTTCAGAATATTCTGACACTAAAATGGCATTTTTCAGACAGACAAATCAGGAGAAAATTAACTTTATTCGAGGCCTTTCTCTGTCTCTGGCCACACACATCTGTCTGGTTTCACTGCAGTGCTGCTGACGTTGGTTTCCAACCTGATAAACAGGCATTTAAAGGAACTTTTGCGTGAAACCAGGAGTTAAAAGTTAAAACAAATATAAAACTTGTATTTCTTTGCTCAATTATAATGTAATTTTAAAATTTAACTAGGGCAAGGTGACCACACCCACTTAGGAGACAGGAAATGATCCCATTTCTTATCATTGGCGCAGCTAGTTATGCATCATTTTGTTATATTGCATCTTTGACATTATACCTGCTTAGCATTAGCACGTTAGCATTGGGATTGTGAGCATGTTAGCATGGCTGTAGACTTTCTTTGTCTAATTGTTAAGTTTGTAATCCCCTTAACGTTGATTTCTGTTGACATGAACATCAGTGAAGAGGTTTTTGAATAGTGGCTAACTGAGTCACTCAGTCGCCAAAACAATCAATCATAATTAAGTATTTCACATTGTGATGAAAGCGCTGGGGAATAATTTAGAAGAAAGTAAAGGGACATTAGAAGAAACAAAAACTTCATGCTGCACTGGTCCTTTAACAACTATTGGCAAGTTACCTTTTAGCACCGCCCACATGAACATGACAGTGTCAGTCTGACTGAGTGTAAACTTTATGAATACGAAGCTGAGCGTGACTCAGTGACCATCAGTCAGTACATGTTGACTCCGGCTCACAGTCCACATATTTTTCCTCACATCTCATCGTTCATCTCTCTCTGCTGTAAATCTTCATTACAGCTGGAAACGAATTCAGCCACAAGCTGCTCAATCACGTGCACATGTCTTTGTTTCAGCCAATCGCATGAGTTCATGTTACTTAACTGTTGTTGCTTGTCTCCACTGACTCATCCTGCATAACACACACACACACACACACACACACACACACACACACACAACCTCCTGCTGCAGAGTTAGCCGACAGATGACACATTGATCAAATATTTAGATTCTTTCAACAATTACATTTTTATTGAGAGCAGAAATAAACTTGTATTGGCTTCTTTTCTTTCAAAGTGAGCAAACACATAACCAGAAGGAGGTGACCACATCAAGAAACAGGGACATCAAAACCACAAAACAACATCAAGGGAAAAGTTGAAGGGAAAAGAAGAAGAACGAACTTCTTCTTCACTGTCTTTTTTTGGTGTTACTGCAAACCAACTGTCGTTTACGGGAATAGCATGAACCTGCAGCAGGATTTTGTATCTCGCATGTCTTTGTGCACGATACAAACAAAACGGGTACCCACCCTTGAAAACACGGCTCCATAGTTCTTGTACCTTTAACTGATTGTACTGTTGGGAAGTTTAACGTACAAATATGTTGTGTCTCGTCTTACAATCAGTGGTGGATGAAGTATTCGGATCATTTACTTAAGTAAAAGTACTAATACCAAACTGTAAAAATACTCTCTTACAAGTAAAAGTCCTGCATTGAAAATGCTCAAAGTACTCAAAGCAGTACAGTTGTACTTGTATATATATATGATTATGATAGACATCAGATTACTATTCCTTATGCATTAATGTAAAGCAGCATTTCACTGCTGTAGTTGTTGAGCTGGACTATCAACTAATGTTCTCCATCATTCAGCTGATTGTTTAGCTTTTAAAAATTCAGAAAATAGTGAGAAATGCCGTCACAAATACCCAGAGCCCAAAGTAACACTTTCACAGTGCTTGTTGTGAATTCATACTTATTCAAATGAGCAGTAAATCCTGAAATTGTAATGCTGAAATTGTGAAATGTTCTTACATTAAAAAAAAAGTGCTAAAGAATTAAAAGAATTAGAATTTTCCATCAAAAATGTAAAGTATCTGGTATCTATAGCTGCTAAATAAACGTAGTAGATTAAAAAGTACACAATATCGCTTGTACATATTACATATTAAAGTAAAAGTATTAAGTAGCATCTGAAGTTCAATTGTTTTTTAGTAAAGTAAATGCACTCACCTACCGTTCAGCATTAACTTTAATTCTGCAGCTGTTTCAGTTTTATATTAGATTCAATTAGATTTAACTTTGATGTCAGATTTCTCTGAAATATCTCGTGCATCTTAAGGCACAAACTGTTTCACATCATGACAAAACAAAAACACTCATTCCAGATCTCCATTATGATCAGATATAACAAACATCACTTGCTAGTACATCAAATAATCATAGAAGGGGAGAGAGAGGCATGCAGTTGCACAAAGTGGAAATAGTAAACAGAAGTACAATTACTTGTAAATTATACTTCAGCTCAGTACTTTAGTATATGTACTTGTGTGACTGAGCTGTCATTTTATTTTTATTGTTTGACAGATTTATGTTAGAGTCAGTCTGTCACTCACCTCCTCCATCAGAGTGGAGACTGACCTCAGGACTGATCGCATTATAAACTGGCAGCGCTAAAAGCATGAGCTAAGTCTGCAGTGTGTGAGTGTGTGTCCGTCCTCAGATCTCTGCCCAGTGTGATCTCAGTCTCCATCTCCTCCCTCATCCTCAAGTGTGGGTTAGACTCTAATTAGAGAGGATTAGATCTCCACTTCCCACCATCACAACCCCCTCAATTACTAAAGCAGGACGATAAAGAGTTCCATTATTATACTGCAGCAAACCAAAGCCGCTCACTGCCCTGGTGGTGGTGAGGGCTGAGTGTGGTGATGATGGATCACTCCATTTGTACTCTTTAGTCTAGAGTAAGACCGCTCAACTACTGGCACAAAATTTGCTATGTATTTTTATGGTCCTCAGATGTTGAAGGCTTGTGATTTTGGTAAAGTCTTTTAGTTGTCCTGAGTGCCACTCTCAGCTCCACTACTAGTAAGTTTGTATGAAAAACAATGCAAATTTAACTCATGACGCCCCATCAAAGGTTGTACAATATAGTTCTAAGGATGTTAACCTTCTCATCTTTATAATCATCTTGAAACCCCTCCGATTCACCTTGTGACACCTTGACCGCGGAGCTGGAAAACACTGCTCTAGAGGATGCTGAGATTCATAAATTTTGTGGATGTGGATTGCCCATCAGGGCTATGATCTTCTCTTTGTTTGTTTCTGCCCTACATAGGGTGACCATATAAGAACAGGTGGAATTCAGTGTCAGTGTCATTCAGTGTTTATATCAGTACCAATAGGGCAAAAGAAACATCTCACAACACACTGTGTATGTGGTTAAAAAAAATTGTTATACCCATTCGCAGGCTAGCAGTTGTCCAATTAGAGTTAGAGCAAAAGAATGGCTAGCATGGAGAATCAGAAGGTTTAAGTTTATCAATTTGCTATCTGTGTACGAGGTGTCTCATTGTCATCTCCCTTAAAAACTGTCTCCATCTGTCTCTTCCACTCTTCCCCTCCCTCTACTTCAGGTGCAGGTTGCTCCATCAAACCCGAAGTTGACGAGTGTCCCAACGAGTGCAGTGATCAGGGTCGCTGCGTGGACGGCAAGTGCATCTGCTTCCCTGGTTTTAGTGGATCGGACTGCAGCGAGTCTAACTGTCCCGGAAACTGCAACAACAACGGAAGGTGCGTGAATGGACAGTGCATCTGCGATCCTGGTTTCACCGGTCCCGACTGCTTGCAGAGAAGCTGCCCCGACAACTGCAACAACCGAGGCAGGTGTGTGAACGGCAGGTGTGTGTGCGACGCTGGCTTCACGGGTCCCAGTTGCTCGGATGAATCCTGTCCTGGAAATTGCAACAACAGGGGGCGCTGCGTCAACGGACAGTGTGTGTGCAAGCCTGGATTCACCGGCCCAGACTGCTCCAAGAAGGCGTGTCCTAACAACTGCAGTGACCGTGGAAGGTGTGTAAACGGTAAATGTGTGTGTGACAGCGGCTTCACTGGCGCGGACTGCTCAGAGAAATCATGTCCAGGAAACTGCAACAACAGGGGGCGCTGCATTGACGGACAGTGTGTCTGTAATCCAGAATTCACCGGGCCAGACTGCTCAGAAAGAGCCTGCCCTGATAACTGCAACGACAGGGGTCGCTGCATCAATGGACAGTGTGTCTGTAATCCTGAATTCACCGGGCCAGACTGCTCAGAAAGAGCCTGCCCTGATAACTGCAACAACAGGGGTCGCTGCATCAATGGACAGTGTGTCTGTAATCCTGAATTCACCGGGCCAGACTGCTCAGAAAGAGCCTGCCCTGATAACTGCAACAACCGTGGGAGGTGTGTAAACGGTAAATGTGTGTGCGACAGCGGCTTCACCGGCGCAGACTGCTCTGAGATTGCCTGTCCTGGAAACTGCAATAACAGGGGGCGCTGCATAAACGGAGAGTGCGTTTGTGATGATGGTTTCAGCGGCCTTGATTGCTTGGAAAAAACATGCCCTAATGACTGCAACGACCGCGGAAGGTGTGTTGATGGTAAATGTGTGTGTGACAGCGGCTTCACGGGTGACGACTGCTCTGAGAACTCCTGCCCAGGAAACTGCAACAACAGGGGGCGCTGCGTTAATGGACAGTGCGTTTGCAATGATGGATTCACCGGTGCAGACTGCTCTGAAAAAGCTTGTCCCCAAAACTGTAGCAATCGTGGGAAGTGCGTGAATGGGAAGTGTGTTTGTAACGTGGGCTTCGCCGGGCCGGACTGCGCCGCCAAAGGCTGTCCCAATAACTGCAACAACAAAGGACGGTGCGTCAAAGGGAGGTGTGTCTGCCGGCGTGGGTTCACCGGAGCAGACTGCAGCCAGTGTGAGGAGGGGATGACCGGACCCAACTGTGATACCGGTGAGTCAAACCCAACAAATACAGAATTCTTAATTAAAACTGGTCTTCAAGGGAGACATGTGTCATGTAAAGGCAGGAACTTCTAAACCAATATTTCTGAAGATTAAAAAAAAAAAAGTAATTAGATGCTCAATCAAGGTCAAAAGCTAGCTACATTTAAAGTATTTATCTGAAACATCTGAAAAGTAATGCATTGGGTAATATTCTACTGTACCAAAATGCAGCCCTACAGTACTATTCATAAAAAGCGAGGAGTGTTACAAATTGTAAGTAATATGTACAACAATACAAGGGGCAGTTCATTGAGTGAAAGTCTGAAACACAACGCTGTTGCTAATTATGCATTCTCATGTATTAGTGAGACTTGAGGTGTTCCACAAGGCTCCATTCTGGGTCCCATTTTGTTTTTCATATATATGCTTAGAGGTGGGTAGATAATAATAAGGTATATCTAAGTAAGACAAAAACAAACAAACAAATGCTTCAGGTAACATTTTATCATAACAGTGAATTGCAGTACCATAATAGCGAGTTAGTATTGTTTGTTACATAGCCTATGAAACATGTGCAACAATACTAAGGGTGTACTTTGTGGTTTTGGGCAGTCGCATTAGTTGCGGTTTTGCAATGCTGTTATGGCAGTGATTTGTTCTGTATTACAAGGTTCTATTCTTGGTCCTTCTGTTAGCATTGAACATGCTTCAGCTTGGGCAGAGTAGTATTTTATTTTTGGTGGAACGTACCACTTCTATTAAGATATCTGCTAATACTAACAATGCTAACAAAACTAAAGAAATTTTAATATCATTATTATTTGTCCCCTCATTACCCTAGTTCTAGTTGAAACAAAGACTCTGTTCATCATATGTTAAATGTACCCTCTACACCTTTTGACAACCATTTGGCATTTTTATTCAGCCCTGTTTTTTAAAAGTTGAGGAACATGAATCCAATGTATCCGATCTAGATCCCATCTTGTTCCTCTCTTTTCACTTGTCTTAGCAAGACAACAATGAATTACTTAATGTGTCACAGAAACCTGATGCAAGGCATTTAAGCTTTTGACCAGGTCTTCTTAAGCCCTGGATATACTTGCTTTTAACTACGCGTAAGTCGATCTGACCGGCAGGTCAGCTGCACTCAACTGTTCCACACACCAGCCCAGGTGGTGGTGGTATGCAGTTGGTTTGCCAACATTAAATCTAAAAGAAGAAGGTCAGCAGCAGACTTTAAAAAAAGGAGGTTTTGGCGGGATGTTAACAATAAAACTCCTGGAGACAGTCTGCAATTATCGAGATCGTTATGATGTCTAATTAAGTCACAACCTGCTCGAGTGTTGCTATGTTTGGTTTGTTTACGATGTGCGGAGGTTGTCAAGGAAGATAATCCGGTGTCAGCGAGGGATGATCCGGTCCTGGCCTACCCCCTAATGGATTCCGATGTAATCCTCCAGGTACACAAAGTATGCAGGCAAGTATCTGAACAATGCCGTTTACGTCGCCGACGCCTGTCTACGTCTACGCATTGTTAAAAAGCAAGTATATCCAGGGTTTTAAAGGTCTCATGTGCCACCTGTCTAGATTTCTTTAAACTGGCTCCACATCAAATTCAAGATTCATGTTATCTCTTCAGGAGCTCTGCATGGTCACACCTGTATCAGCAAGCTCCTATGTCACGCGTCACTAATAATTGCAGGCTTAAAACTAAAGATTTGAAACTTAAATCTTGAGTCAAAGAGACCGTGAACACTTTTTAAATGTTTCTGAAGACGCACTTGTTCAGTTTTGCCTTTGTTTAGTTTTTCACATTCTTATATTATGTTTGTATTTTATCTATCTGTTGCTTTTATTAAACCACTTAGTGACGCCCCTGCTAGAGAAGTGCTACTTACAGACTGTTCATCTGATGTTTTGTCACAGGACTGCAGCAATAAAGCTGTAAAAAGCCTGTGAAATCACACATTTCCTCTGCCATGTCTAATTATCCCTGTCCACCGTGTCTTTGGCTTTGTTTTTTCCCGTGGGGGTTAGTCATTCAGAACATCACTTTACACGTTCGGTATGTAAGATGAGCATGCAAATCCCAGATGCTGTGTTGTAGTGTAATATCTTTTCACATAATAACTTAATGGGTCACACGAGAGAAGACAGTTTCTGGGAGGATGTTCGTGATAAATGTTTTACAGCTTTTGGAAATGTTTATTGTCATGTTTCATTCAACACCTGCATTTCCATCTTACTGTAATTATCTGATCATTTCTTCCTGGGCAAACACTTTTATTAACTTATTATTTGCAGAGTGAGTCGTGTTGCTTTCCTTTTCAACCTGTTGTGTTTTTGTTGTTGTTGTTGTTGTCAGCGTTGTTGCCAGGCTACGTTAGCATGTTAGCTCGTCTGTCTGGAGCTGGTTTAAGCTGCTGTGATTCGGGTGACGGAACTGTTTCATTAACAGGGAAGCAGGATCCCGGTGCCCATAAAACTCCCTCAGACTGCTGCGTAATGGCTTTCTGTACAGCCTGAGGCTGACACAGGACAGACACGCGTGTGAGTGTTAAGTGTTTTCCCAAATGTAACTGACCACTGATAGGAGGGAACAGAGGGAAGTCCCGCAATCTGAAGCCTCGTATGGGAGGGAGCGAGTCAGATAACTGGGCAGCAGCAACTGTTGAGTAGACACACCTGTTTTTATGCACATTTGGAATTTGTGCAGAAGTACCTAAATGGAGAAATGCCGTGCCTGGCAGAGGTGAAATGGTTGATTGATGGAAACCGATTTTTCTTCTTCTTCTTTTTTTTCCTGAATATGCTGTCGATGCAGGAGCAAGCCCACAGTTACAGTCCACTCCAGTCGAGGCCATAGTGAGTGTTTTAGAAACTGGGACATTATAAGTCCAAGGTCTCCCAATGGATCCCTCTGCACACTTTTTCCATTTCTTTACACTGCTAGGACTAAAAGTCAAAAGTCTAGAGGGGAAATATTCAATCTAATCTGTTAATTTATTTTATTGGCTTAGAAAAGTAGAGAAATTTAAGTAGATTGAAGCAAAAATATTTGGCATCACCTCACCATGTGTAATAATATTTAGCCAGGCTGGCAGCAAACCAGTTTTAGACTGATTGCCATGAAATTTTGTACAGACATTCATGGTCCCCAGAGGATAAATCTTACTGACTTTTCCTCTTATGGCATAATGAGGTTCATCTTTGTGAAATATCTCCATTAACTCTTGGATGGATTGCCATAAACTTTGGTTCAGACATTCATGTTCCCTTCAGGATAAATTGTAAGAACTGGTGATCCTCTGGCTATTCATCTAGCGCCATCATCAGGTCAACATTTCCGTCTTTCCAAACTTTGGTTCATGAGCAAATACCTGTAAAACTAATGACAATCCTCGATCAGCCTCAGCTGTACTTTGTGTTTAATACTAATAAGCAAATGTTGAAGAGATGTTAATATACCTGCTATACATCAGCATGTTAGAATCATAGTTTGTTAACATTTCAGCATCCTGACAAAGCCATTTAGAAAACTCACATGTTATAACTGTAGAGCACCCACGGGTTGCTAAAGCTCCTAACTTCATAGGATATTACCTCAGTGTCTCCAGTCTCACAGAAACACCAAAAAGTACTTTTTCAGGAGGGAGGCAGATCTTGCCTTTCATTTCATTTTTGCTATCCTGAGGATTTTACTATAAAAACAATCTATAGTCAAAAAACATAATTTCCATTTTCTCAAACCTCCTTTTTTTTTTTTTTTTTTTTTTAAAGTATGATTCGAAATGCATCCAAATCTTTCTCAGAGCTCATGTGAAGTGCATGGTGGACTTTAGTAGTTGGTTTCGGGAAACATTACGTCAGGCCCTCAGTGACTCGCTGAGCAGTGAATTTTTCAGCACTAATTTTATGTGAAACTCCTGCAATAAAACAAATCTGTGAATTATTATCGAGCACGCCTTCACTGTGTGCAGTTATACATCAGCTGCGTGGCTCAGCCAGGCTGAGGGCTTTGCGTTGGCAGCGTCATGGTGCACCACATGTTTCTGCATGTGGTTCATGAACTGCAGTTTATGTACAAGAGTGATGTATTTGAAATCGGATAGGAAGTGACGGAAGATTTGAATGATTCTTATGGTGGAACTGCTTGATTTATATAAAACTGTTCGATAAACTTCTTTCTTCAGTGGAATAGAATACAACTTTATTGCCCACAAAAATTGACTTTTGCCAATCTGGGGGTGTATTTTGGGTTATATGAACCCCCCCAGAACAAGGAGGAGTTATTTCCCTCATGTCTCGTTTTCTTTATCACATGACTGATGCAGTGGAACAAATTAACCAGCAGGCATCCTTTTGTTCTGAATTTTGCAGAAATTGAGACGTCTCCCTTTATGAAAACAGTGTGATGTATGTCTCAGCATTTGGCATGAACATTGATCCATTTGCTCACCGGCACCACAACAATGAAACTGCTGCTTGACAGTGAGACAGTTCAGACCACGGAGATGTTTTTGTCATTAAGAGTTATGATTTGGCAGGCACAGCAGCGGGTTCAAATTACGGAAAAGGTAGATTTTTTTAAGATCCAGGTAAAAAGCCAAGCAAGAAATTTAAAGAGCCAGATATTTTTCTCAGTAGTTGGCAGAGCCCAAAGCAGAGCTAACAGGAGACTGAATATACGTTCAAACACGACTCCAATGGGACGATTGTGTTGCTGTGTGTCTGCTGGATGTGCGAGTAGGTCGAGGATTGAAACAGAGTTTTGTATTTTTATCATATTTTGGAAAAATTATTAATATTTGGACCAAACTGTTGAGCGGAGTATCACTTTGATAGGAACACGAATGAAATGGTTCCTATAAACAACAAGTGAAGATATGTTACTCTGATTGTTGTCCATCGTAGGATCATTTTGTGAACAAGTCTCTCTCTCTCTCTCCCCAGTCATGTCAGGAGTTTCTCAGCTGAGTACTCGGGACATCACAGAGACGTCTGTCACTCTGGTCTGGACTCCACCTCCCGTCCAGTATGAGAACTACCACATCACCTTCACCAGCCAGGTACAAAAATATTGATCCTGAAACACTGTCGCTGTGATTTTCAGCCGCTGTTTTCAGTTAGATTCAAGTCTTTTGCCTCTCGCCTCTTTACATTAATGTGATGGAAACATTCAGCCTCAAGTCTTTCGGTCAAACATTTTCAGTTCAAGTGGATGTGTCATTGCACGAAAATCGTCTGTAGATTTTGCAGTTCAAACACACCTTTAAACCAGGAGGGGATCAGCTCTTTGGAGATTGGGGATGACATGCGGCAAAGATCCCCAGCTGGGCTCAAACCTGAGACCCAGATTGAGTTTTGAATGCCTTTTCAATTAGATTTAACTTTGTCTTTCTATCATTACAAGTTTTTATGTGTTTTTAAGGACTCACCAACACTTGTGCTGACACTATTATACAATATTACAGATACACAAGACTGTATTTGTTCTAATATTCAATGAAAGCTCACTTAAAACATAACATGAGAGAAAAAACAACAAAATGAATGTGATATAAAAGGTGAATTTGGAAAGGACCAGAGATTTGCTTCATAATCTTGACTGATCTAAAAAACAACCTGTACAACAACAGAGAGGCAAAACGTTTATAAAAACACACACATATTTCTAGAGATAATTCAGACCGCAGATGTATTTGTTGACAGAGTGTTTGCTGTCCCAGAATTTAGCTACTCAGGGGGTTCAAAATCTTCATCTGCCAGGTCATGTTGAGAGGACAGAGAAGAAATCTGTGCATGAAATTTACACAAGATCCTCAGGGAGCTTTAAAAAATGACGATGAGGTCTGCAGCCAGAACTGTTGTGCATCACCTTAAACAACCTCATACTCCCTGCGAAGATGAAAAACAAAACAATCTGACCTTTGACCTTCAGATAATTAGACCAAAGCTCTTTCTCTAAAGCCTTTTTGGCTTCTTAAATTAAAACTCTGTACACTAATGGTTGCAAGAAAAGGAGAAACAGTATTAAAACAGGACCCGAGGATCTGCTCACAGATGCCGTAAAGTCTCATTTAAAGAACCCCCAAGAGTAATTATTCAAAGAAAACCTTTACTGAATGCCAGTTTAGATGTAATTAATTCTGCGCGAGGGTTTGGAGAAGGATTTTGTTTAAAGTGGCCGCTCTCTGTGCAGATCATGCTGAAAAGAGATTTCTCTGTATCTTTTCCATGACAACAATGAGAAACAGTGTCCATGAAATTTCCACAAAACTCTGAAAAGATGACAAACAATAAATTCAAAGACTTCAGCAGCTCCAGGATTCATTTCCTCCATGAATACTGATGCAAACTTTCCCAAAGAAGATTTAGAGTAAAGATGGTCTCCAATATATTAACTCAGGATTGTTACAGTTGTTTTAGTAATATTTATTTTAAAGCACAATAAAGTGTAGAATAGTAAGATATGGTCGACATGAAGGTAGGTACGTTTTGTAGGTTTAGACTAATGGGAATAGTTAAAGGAATAGTTGTTTAATAGTAATTTGTTTTCTTTCCATGCATAAGATGGATACCAGTCTCATGTCTATGTATCGAGTGCAAAGCTTAGCTTAGCATAAAGACTGGAAGCAGGGGGAAACAGTTAGCTTGGCTGCGTCCAAGATTCAACAATAGACCTTCCAACACCTCTAAGGCTCTCTGATTAACAGGCTGTGTCTCTTAATCCGTAAAGAAACATACGTTTGGGGGTTTAAGGTGATCCGCATGATGGAACTTTGCTCACCAGCTGATAATCCTCTGTAGGTTCATCACTACGAGCCACACCTTTCACATTTGATCCATTGGTGTTGTAAAAATATTGATTATAACTCCTTTAACATGCAGACAAGAGAATGGAGAAATAACAAAAGTAACATTTAGTTTAGTTTTAACATTTTATTTTCTGCTTTTTATTTTCATTCCCTGCTTTGTCCGGGTTCCAGCTGAGACTTTTAAATTCCCTATTAATGATCTAACTTCCGTTTTTAGACCCTTTCACGCTAATTTAAGAATTTGAAACTGTACAGTGAGGGATGTTTATTTGGTTGGAACCACAGCAGGTCATGTTAAAAAGAAACTAGGAAGCTTGTCATTTCCATGACAGACGCTAGAAAATATGATCTGTGAAATTGACTTAAAGTCACAGAGGAGATCTCCGGGCACCATAAACAGTAACTTATAAAGCAGGATTTTATGGCGTTACAGTTCACTGACTCTGTACACTGGATGTTGTTTTAAAGAGCAAAGTGCCACTTTCATGTTTCCATGACAGAAGATGAAGTATATAGTCTCTGTAATGGTTAAGAAACACCAAAGTCTGAGCGTGAAACTCTTCTTTTAAAACCTTTAAATCATTTGAAGAAGTTTCATCAGAACATTCAGTGACATTTGGGGCAACTATCAGAAAATCAGGGGTTGTATTTTCAATTCAAAGCATGTCATAAAAAATCACAAAGTATGATGAATTATCAGTCACCATTAAATCAAACCGGGATCCTGATCCACACCAGGCGGGCAGAGATCAGGACAGATTCTCACCGGGTTTTATTTCCATGACAAAGACTATAAAAATCTGCATTGAAATTCAAAGTAATCCCCAGGGAGCCTGAAGATGGCAATAACAAATCCCTCTCTTTCCCTGGAAAAGGATATTGACTGCTTTAGGAGATGTTTGGATAAAAATGCCAAGTTTAATATTTTCTGACAAACTCTTCCTGCCCTGACCTCATCATGTCTGTGTGTGTGTGTGTGTGTTTCTACCGTCCCATCGTTATCTAAACCACAACTTAATTACTCAGCCGCTCGAGAGGTTTTTCCTTTCAAATGTTTATGAACAACACTTGAAATTTCATCCCAAATATTACAGACATACCTCTGGTTCACTGACTGCAGCTGAATGTACACAAAACACGACATACTAACAGGTCTAAACGTGCAGAGAGCAGAGGAGCCAAGAATGTAAAACAAGTGAGGGAAAAACAGATTAACATAAAGAACTAACTCTAAAAACAACAAGCACTTTAATCAATTATCAATTCTAAGATTTGTACCAAACCATAACTGGCACAGGTCGGTGTGACAAAACCAAAACAATCAGCACTTTCTTTTATCAAGAAATATTACACACTGATCACAAACTTAATTTCAATTTGTCAATGTCATGCACAAGATAGCGCAGCTAACCCTAACCCTAACCCCAAAAATACATTTTTAAAAGTACACCATCAATAATAGTGTTGTTACAAACAGACAAAAATTCAACATAATGTTTGTGACATTTGTAAATAATTAAATGCAGCACATTATTTAGATGTAGAAATGAGGAATGATGCTGAAATTCTTCAATAAACAATTTAAATAAAACACCAGCAACCTGCAGCTGCACCAAAAATTTGTGTAAAAAAGTGTAGCAAGCAGGAACGTCAGTAAACTAGTGATCTATAAATGAATGAATAAGCGATTCTTACAGTAGTACAATTGTCCACGGCTGCTTTATACTGCATGAAAAGTTAAATCCTTGCAGCCATCTGAAGGCAGCGGGACAGATATGTTGATAAATCTGCGACTGTGCACAGTGTTTGTCTTAAATACATCACATGCAAACACCTGGCTGCTCCAAAATGACCAGAAACCAGACAGGTCTGTTGTAACTGTACTTATAACTGTCTTCTGCCTGTTTATGTGTGATACATCAGATTATCGCAGCTCTGTGGATCACTGCCTCCTTTCTAACTGTTTGTTTCAGTACTTAAATGCAAACGTCATCGTGTCACATTAATTACAACATCATTTGACTATTCAAGATGTGACATACAGCACATTTATAAGATTTTTAAGCAAGCAGACATTCAAACAACTGAAATAGTGTCAAACAGCTGTTTCCATTATTAATTATATCATCCTTTTACTAATTACGTTTTAAAAAACATCTGCCTCTGGTTGCAGGTTTGTGCCGCTCTGCATCATCCAGACAGCATGTCCTGGAAAAGTCTTACTCCTCTCTGTTTGCTGAGCTATCATTGATTACTGGCTGAGAGTATTTTATTAGTCACCACACCCTCCGATTCATATTCTACTTTATCCAGCTGCTGCTCGTTGTTCTACTGCACATCCATGAACCCGAATAGCAAGTGGAGGCGCACACAGTCCTCAAAGTGGTCTCCTTTCTTGTGTGCATTAATATTGGATCCTCAAAGTCACTTTCTGTACAGAAAAAGGAGATAAAATTAGGTTTATACAATGTATAAAAAAATAAAAGGTTTAAAAGTATTATCAAAGAATGATGACTAAATGAATGATGAATAAAGATTAAGAACGCAACATAAAAATAAATCCAGGTTCAAGGCAAACTTCAAAAGGACTGTAAAAGATAAAGCTGGTTTCTCCACAGCATGAGACAGTAAACATCAACAATATCCATCTGATTTAGAGGCCAACCAAAGAATAATCTGGGTTTAAAATAATCCACAAAATAAATAATAATAATAATAATTTATTGGTAGAGTACAAAGTGCTTTCACAGAAGATAAAAACAATTAAAATGATAGTTAAAAAGACAAAAATAAAATATGACATAGCATGCACAAATTAAAATTAAATTTAAACAATAAGAGGTATAACTGAGTATCGTCTGCATAGCAACAAAAGGGAATACCATATTGGCAGATAATGTCACCCAGGGGAGCATGTAAATGGAAAACAAAATAGGTCCGAGAATTGATCCTTGGGGCACACCGTTATAAACAGGAGAAAAGGTAGATTTAAAGTTTTTAATAGACACACAGTGCTTCCTGTTAGATAAATACAATACCATGCCAGAGATGCCCACCCAGCGACTCAGACTATCTAACAAGATGCCATGGTCCATTGTGTCAAAAGCAGCATCAATATCTCTACTTGTAAAGTGAATCTATGACACACATCCTGATGTTCATAATGTTTCATGTTGGTTTACCCGAACATGAAACACGATCACACTGTAAACAGAACGACGTCAAGCTGGATTATGTAAGACACACTGTGG